AAACGTAAACCCAAATTTTTTCTTTATTTTTTAACCACACATTTTTCAAAAAATTACTACTTCAAAATACATTTTTAATGGAGTCCAAACATGTGCATGTTCTTCCAAGGCTTAGCAAAACAAAAAATATATGCATTGTTTGGAAATAAATTCTAGCATTTAGCTCAAAAGAATAAACAAACAATAGATAATTTCATTTGTTGTGACATTTTTTTCATTCTAGTTTAATTATGTATTTTACTTTAATTTGATTTCAATTGAATAATTTCATCTACTACACTTCAATTTGATGTCAATCGAGTGACTACGCTTTAATTTAAGTACAATTATCCTATTGAATAATTTACTTTATCCTATTGAAATTATATTATAGTTACTGATTATACATATTTGAAGTACAATTATTTAATTGTCAATAAGATGAAATCATAGTTACCGCAGATGAAATTTCTCAACAAATAACCTTAATAAAGTTGGTTCGAACCAATATTGGCAAATTAGATTAGATCGGTAGGTTTAACCACGGATTGTTCTAGAAATCGTATCGGCTACTTGTAAAAAAAAAAAAAAATGAAAACCAACAAGACCAAAACTAGTTAGTTGACAGATTCGTTTTAAAATTTTGAATTTTCATTTTGTGTCCTTTTTTTTTTTTTAAATATTTTTAACTACTAGTTTATTTTCATTTTGAAAACATTGGTTAAACGTAAATCGAAATTAAAGTCTTCTTTGTTGTTGTTAAAGGGCCTGTTTAGTACGGCTCAAAATCCAATTAAAATTAAAAATATAGTCGTTATTGGGTCTCACTCATCTAATAAAAGTCAACAATAACGGCTAATTTTTCAATTTTAATCCGATTTTAATCTCTATCAAACACTCTCGTAATCTGAGTGATACAGTGGTATACTGCAGGGAAAGAAATAATTTAGGCAACTGAAGATGGCAGTGAAATTACGCCATATACTCCAACGTCACAGCAGAAACCCTATTATGGTGCCCTAACCTCCCAACATTGGTGCTGCACACAATCTTATTTTTCAAAGTTTAGCTAATTTGCGTGGATCTTACGGGTCCACCGCTACTACTTTGACAATTACAACTACAATTTTTTTGGGATAAATTTCACTTTTTTCCTAACCTTTTTTTAGGATTACTCTTTT